AGTGGGCTCAAGCAAGGCAACAATTGTGAGGTTGGCTCAGGATCAGGCAGTGTTTTGTTCTGTTTTGCATGGGGTAGCTATGAGTTGGTACTGACTCAATGGCACGTAAGAACCAACAACAACACGAGCTGGAATCAACTTGATGACAACTGGTTTGAATTTTTTTTATTATTATTACAGCTGTCATTGTTGTTAAGTGCCATTGAGTGTCATTTCTGACTCATAGTGACCCTGTGCAGGGTTTTTGAGGAGCAGTTAGAGGGTTTGAACCACCAACCTTGCTTATCCTACAGTGCCACACCACAACTAGTCATAAATAATACAAAATGCTTAAATATTCACATATGCCTTTGTGTACATATTACTTAAACTATTAAAAATAATTGTGGTAAGTGAGATTTTCTAGCAGGTTGTGTAAATTGAGTTGGTCCATGTTTTTGATGTCACGCCTCAGATTCTTTCCATTTATTTCAGGTCAAGAAAAAAAACAATTCCTGACATTTATATCTGCAATCTGGCTGTGGCCGATTTGGTCCACATCATTGGGATGCCTTTTCTTATTCACCAGTGGGCCCAAGGAGGAGAGTGGGTATTTGGGGGCCCTCTCTGCACCATCATCACATCTCTGGACACATGCAACCAGTTTGCCTGTAGTGCCATCATGACTGTAATGAGTGTGGACAGGTAAGTAAAGATGTTTTAAAAGATCTTAATATAATTCAAAGCCATTTGTACTCCTCTAAGGAATTCCAACTTAAGCAAAATCAGTGCTAATTTGTAACATCAAAGCTTCTCTTCCTTTGCATATGTCATCATAAGATTCATTCTTTAATAATTTTTTTCATTTTTCACAAAGCTCTAGTTTTTCACAGAAAATGTAAAACCCTAAAATCTCTCTTTTCCTCTCATCATTCTTTTGACCTTAGTTTTATTTACAGTTCACTGCAAGAAGAAACAAAAAGAAAATTATGAAATGTTAGAAACCAGAATAAATTGCCCCCATCATTCCTACCACAAGGGAGATGAAGTCCAGAGAGGTGAAGGGATTTGCTGAAAGTTCATGGAGAGCAAATGGCAGCACCAGGAACCAAAGCAGAGCTTCTCACTCTAATCCCATTGCCATCATGTCAATTCCAACTCCTAAGAACCCTATTGTTGTTATTAAATGCTATCGAGTCAGTTCCAACTCATATCGACCCAGAATAGAGTTTCCAATTAATGACTGGTGGGTTTAAACCACCAACCTTGTGGTTAACAGTACTTATCCTAAAGTGCCACACCAGGACTCTAGTGATCCTATAGAAACAGTAAAACTGCTTCATAGGGTTTGCAGGCTATAAATCTTTACAAAAACAGACTGCTTCATCTTTCTCCTTGTGGATTTGAACCTCTGACCTTTTGGTTAGCAGTCAAGCTAACCAAGTCCTATGCCACAAGGACTTCTAACCTTACTCCCTGTCCAGGGCTAATTCTGTTCCTCATTTCACACTCTCAAGGTATCACCCAATAGCTCTCTTGAGGTAATCAGGGGAATACATATGGGTTCCCGTGTAGCTAGGAAGAAATTGCTCTTTACCAAGAAGGCCAACATTTATATTCATCAATATCATTGGTTAGTGAAAATGTTGCCATGTTACAACATTAGAAATTTATTCAACTATCCTGGAATGTGCTTCAGTGGTATTTACCAGCTATATAAGCTAGTGATATTTATGGTGGTGATGATGATGGCTCCACTTCTGGTGGACTTGGTGAAGGGCAAAGCCTGATCTACATTCAGGCCATCTGACTCTAGGGATAGGTAGCTGGTAACAATTTCACTATCAGGCCTCTGAGAAGCATAAGAGCTAAGATGTGTCCTTCATCAATGAGATACCAAGACTTAGCAGCTATCCTCATGTAGAAACAGCCTCATGTAGAAACAGCCACGGCTTAGCAGCTATCCTCATGTAGAAACAGCCCCCGAAGACGACCATAAAGACAACCATAAAAAACAGTTATATGCAGTTTGGAAGAACAATCCACTTAAATCTCAGTCACCTTCTATGTCCTATTCCATCTCCCCAACTCAACAATTCTGTCATCCTTACCCCGGATCCACTTTTGTTTCTTTTTACCTTGCTTTAAATATTTAAGTAATTATTTAGCTACCCCTACTCTGGTGTTGAGTCCTGGTGTGGCACTGTGGGTTAATGCACCAGACTGCAAAGCCATTTGAACTGCAAGGTCAGTGGTTCAAGCTCACCAGCTGCTCCTCAGAAACCCTGTACGGGGTTGCTATGGGTCAGAATTGACTTAACGGCACTTAACAACAACAACAACACTCTGGTGTAGATAGCACGGTTGGTCTGAACTGCAGTGTTAGCAGTTCAAGCTCACTAGTCGCTCCTTGGAAACCCTATACATGGTCACTATGAGCCGGAACCGACTTGATGGCACTTAACAACAACAAAACCCTTGAAATGGGAGTCCTTGTGTGGCACTTGTAGGATAAGGAAAGTCAGTTTGAACCTCAAAGGCAGTGATTCGAACTCACCATCCAATTGTCAGAAACCCTATACAGGGTCGCTAAGGGTTGGAACCATCTTGATGGCACTTAACAACAAGCACTCTTGAAATGGGGAGTGCAATGGCTCTATAGGATCAGCACTGGATGGCGAACCACAAGGTCAGTGATTCAAGCTCACTAGCTGCTCCGCAAGAAAAGGATGAGGCTTTCTGTTCCCACAAAGATTTACAGCCTTGGAAATCCTATACAGTGTTGCTATGCATCATATCCTACTCAGAGCACTTAACAACAACTCTTGAAATGTAAACTCCACAGAAGTAGAATCTTTGTTCATTGATAGGTCCCAGACACCTATGTAGCGATGCCTAACATACAGTCTAAAACCAAACTCACTGCCATCAAGTCAATTCTGACTCTTAGCAACCTGTAAGGATGGAGTAGAACTGCCCCATACAATTTCCAGGGCTGTAAATCTTTACAGAAGTAAATTGCCACATTTGCTGTTGATAAGTGCTATCAAGTTGGTTCCAACCCATAGCATCCCTGTGTAGGGTTTCCAAGAAGCAACAAGTGAGTCTGAAGTTTAACAGTTCAGTGCTTATCCTACATCATCACACAAGGACTCCTGCCACAGATTGTTGTTGTTGTTAAGTGCCATCAAGTCAGTTCTGACTCATAGCAACTCTGTGTAGGGTTTCTGAGGAGCAACTAGTGAGTCTGCTCTGCTGACCCTGCAGTTAACGATCCACACCACCGTAGTACCACACCAGAACTCCCCTTCCACATATAATTGTTGTTGTTAAGTGCCATTGAGTAAGTACCAACTCACAGTGACCCTGTATAGAATTTCCGAAGAGTGGCTGGTGAATTTGCACCACCAACCTTGCAGTTCAAACTAACCTTTTGGTCCAGTGCATTCCCTCACAGTGCCACACCAGGACTCCAAAAATAATTAGATGAAAGAATCAAGTAAATGAATGTCTATCTTAAAGAAAGTGTTGAATTTCCCGGCGTCCATCCAAAACTTCTGAGTGCTTCTCTTTCTCCCTTTTAAGTAGGTCTTTAGGATAATGTTGTCAGTTTATAACTTACACCATATTTTTAAAATTAATGTATTGAATAAGACTGGTTGAGTCCTGGTGTGGCACTGTGGTCTAATGCATCAGACTGCAAAGTTGTTTGAACTGCATGGTTGGTGGTTCAAGCTCACCACCTGCTCCTTGGAAACCTTATACAGGGTTGTTATGGGTCGGAATCGACTCAACGGCACTCAACAACAATAACAACATAGAACTGGTGAGCTCAGCTGATGCCAGCCAATGCTGGCCTGTGTCTAAAAGAGAATCCAGTGATATGGATTTAAACACTAGGGAGAGCATCCCACCCACACCAGGCTCTCTTTAGATAAGCATCTTAATGAACAAACTTATTGATAGCAGACCTGTTCCTCATTGATAAGAAAAGCTTCTTTATACCCAATACCTTGGAGATAGGAGAGCCTGGGCCTATTTTAAATATGGGCATTTTTCCTCCTTTTGAAAACCTCACTTAAAGCAAAGGGACATTTACTTACTGCCTTGGAACAAAGTCAAGTGTATATAGTCCTTAATGATGATAGAATTTCTTCTTGCTGTGTATGTATAACTAAGAAAAAGAAATTTTTTTTTTTTAATCTGGGATGGATACAGTGTACTAAAATTTATTTTAGAGTTAAAACAATCTGGCCCTTTCCTTCTCCCTGCCCTCACTTTAGAAGGTATAGGGAACATCAGCTGCGAAATCATTTTATCTGGCCCTGCCAAGGCAATCGCAGTTTCAGCTATCATGTTGTTGTTATTAAGTGCCTTTGAATCTGTTCTGACTCATAGCGACCCTGTATAGGGTTTCCAAGTACTGGCTGGTGAACTTGAACCACCAACCTTGTACTTCAAACTGACCTTGAGGCCCAATGCATTATCCTACAGCTCCATGTCATCATATTAAATGGTTGACCAAATATAGCTGGCTAATTTTTAAGTTGATAATTTTATATGGCCTGCAAATGATGCTAGAATTTGGGCAGAAAAAGGGTTCCCCACCCCTGCTATAGAGGATTATGTGGCAGAGACAAATGAAGATTCTATACAACTGAATCTTTTTCCTCACTAACATTTATCATACTTCTATCTCCACGAAATTCATAAATGTGCAACAAAACCTGTAATAAACCATTTATAGGAGAGAAATGGAGTTTTCTTTATAAGGCCAGAACCAAAAGACAATGCCATCCATAGGTCTTATGGTTTAGATATAGTATACTTTTTCATTGCCAATATAATGAAGGGTTTTTAATAACACCTTCATTTGTTCTTTCTCAGAAATACTAAAGACATTTTGTAAATGATCAAAGTATTAAAGATATTTGTCGCTAGCTAAAATCTACCTAGACTTTTATTATTGGCTATTTTATAAATACATTACCTGGATTATCAAAGGTCCGTGAGTAGGAGCCAAAGTCTCCTATTCATTCATCATTCAACAACTACTTATTGTTGAGGATGGGCAATATGTCAGGAACTGCACCAGGTGTAGGAGACAGAGCAGCATTAAACTACTAGCCAAGATTCTTGCCCTCGTGTGGCTGTTATTTCAGTGGTATCTACACTGGTGTTAGGTAAAGAGTTACAAGGGCAAATCTGTAAGTCCACACAGTGATGATAAGTAGGAAGGAAATGCAGAGGCCACCTCGAGTTTCCACTTACTGTAATGGGCCCTCCAGAGAGGCTTCTCTGGGGAAGAGGTAATTTAATTTGGGACCTAAAGGAATATCAGGAAGGAGAAGCTGTTCTTTCCAGGCAGGTGAAATAGCATGTGCCCAGCCCTGAAAAGGGAAGAGCTCTTTGAAGGAAGGCCACCTGGAGAGTGTCACAAGCTCCAGTTTGGGCGAGGTAGAGAATGACCTTGTGGTCATGGTAAGAATTCCACATATTTCCTGAAAGACAATGGAAAACTACTAAAGGAGGGATAACAAACAGAGAAGAGTTCCCCAATATATTGCCACATGCCTCCATTAATGTCCAAAAAGAATGATGGCTGAGCTGCTGTACAATTATGACCTCACCCCCTTCTCCAGCAGCATGGCGCCCACTCCCGTCACAGTGCACGTCTTTTTACTTTAGCCTCAAGTGTTATAGTTAGAGTGTGCTGAAGGAGGAGCTCTTGGGGGTGGGGGGGTGTTCTCTCTCATGCTGTCAAGTCTTTAAACTGAATGTAAAATGTCTGTCTCTTTTACACAATGGAAGTAGCAACAGAATAGGGATTCTCATATTGTTATGAGTCTTCATTTTAAGCTCTACAAATAGTTGGAAACAATTAAGTGACCAATGAAAACCACCTTTGGGGAGCAGTAGTGTTCGATGGAAGATTTCTCAATTTCCAGACCATTCGCCTCATGCAAAACCACCTCCCATTTGTTAATGGTAGGTTGAGAGTTGCTATATTTTATATGGGCAGATTTTAGCAATTTCCAGACTAAGAGAGATGAGGAAGAAACGTTTGACAATCTACTCCCAAATCTCAGTGAAAGAAAACCCTATGAATCATAATAGTCCATCTGCAGCAGATCATTGGGGTGACCAGAACCAGGCAGTGTTTAAGTCTGTTTAGCAGTGGGTCTCCATGAATTGGGGGTCAACTCAATGACAGCTAACAACTACAAAAATATCTTGTACTTTTATTTTATTCCTAATACTGTCTTCCATCTCCACCCACCACCACCCCCAGCAAAACTGTTTACTCAAATGCTCTTCCCTCTATATCTGAACTCTTTTCATGTTTCAGTTTTTAATTGGCTCTGAAAGTTTTTGATTTGTTGGAGGTTGATAAGTCATGATTTCAAGTTTCATTGATAATTAACCTTTTCCTAGATCTTATATATATATATATATATATATATTAAAGGCATCTTACTAATCCATTTCTCCCTCCATCCTCTAGCCCACATTCCTTGGGGAATTTGCATTGTCTAGTCATGCTCATTTGTCTTCACTGTGATTTCTATAAGCAGAACCTCCAAGAGCCTGGAGACTCTATTGTACAGTCATATGGACAAAATGTTGACTGGATGTGCCTAACCTCCTCTTGCTGGGGATTCACATATCAGACCCATACTTTCCTCCTTCCTCTTTTTGTGTCAGTACATCCTACTGGGAAGAGGTTCAGTTCCTTCTGGAGGAAATTTCTGTGAAGAGTCTCCTTTATAAAGAACTGATGTTAGGTGCCATTAAGTCAGTTCCGACTTACAGCAACCTGTATAGGGTTTATGAGGAGCAGCTGGTAGTTTTGAACTGCCAACTTTATGGTTGGTAGTCCAGTGCTGATCCTACAGCACCACACCAGGAGTCCTCACAAAGGACAGACATCTGTAAAGTAGCAATTTGCACTGCAGAATTTTACCAGAATTTTCAATGCATTTGTGGAAATGACAACTATTTTGATGAGTGATTTACTCAAACTTTCAGGGTAAAGAGTTGTTTTCTCTATAGGTACTAGCCAGCTCTTAGAAAAGATAACTTTTTTTTTTACTTGATAAGGTGTACTTCAGGGAGGTTAATAGTACTAATAATTTACTCTTGTCATGAACCTTTTATCCTTGAAGATCATTGCTTTTATGGATTGCTCCCAACCCCTTCTTAACTGGCTTTGCAGGTACTTGGCTCTTGTCCAACCATTTCGACTTAGGAGCTGGAGAACAAGGTATAAGACCATCTGCATCAATTTGGGCCTCTGGGCAGCTTCCTTTATTTTGGCATTGCCTGTCTGGCTCTATTCAAAAGTCATCAAATTTAAAGACGGCGTCGAGAGTTGTGCTTTTGATTTAGCATCCCCTGACGATGTACTCTGGTAAGTTAAGACTTAAGAAAAATAGAGTTGTAATAAGTTGTGAAGTACTTAGTCTTCAGAGTTGGAGTATCCAATAAACAAGATAAGCACAGGCTTGCTTGTACTTACCTACTAATCTGTAGTAAACAAATTCACATTTTTTCACATCAAAGATTCTACTTCTACATATGACTGGCATCTGTCTCTCTCCCAAACCCACAGTACCTTCCTACAAAATGAAAGCCTCTTTTCAAATTTACAATCCTGTTAAGGAATATCTAATAAGCAAGGTAAGCACTTGTTTTCTTGTGCTTACTTATAAATCTGTAATGAACAATGTCACATGGGTTTCATGTGATGAATATGTAAAACTGGTGGTTACAGATTAGTAAGCAAAGTACGCCTGTGCTTACCTTGCTTATTTGGTAACCTGTCCTGTTCATCCTTCTTATCAACAGTGAGTAACCTGCTGGAGTATCCTTAGGGATCCTCTTCTTGTCAATCTCACCACTTAGATCTCTGCTTTCCAAAATCAAGTTAGTAGTTTGACTTTAAGGAGATGGGTGTTTACTCTTCTGGTAATCTTTATAAAAATATTTTGAATTTAATCATGTAACCTCAGTGGTTGCAAACTCATTTAAACATGAATTTAATAGACAAATGGTACCAGACAAGCTAGGAATTCAGCAATCAAGCAAAGTCAGACTTTTCCAAGAAAGTCTACACATTTTACAGAATCAAACCTTATCACTATTGACTTCACACAGCCATTTCTGTGCTTCTAACTTAATTTGAAAAGAAAAATTAAGTACAAAATTCCTTTTTGAAATATTTAAATATAGCATTGGAAGTCCATGGCTAAAATAAATTTGATTGTTTCTTAAGGACCAGGTTAATGGGTGGTACAAATGGTTTGCAGTTCGAACCTACCCAGATGTGTCACATGAGAAAGGCCTAGCTACCCATTTCTGTAAAGATTTTAACCAGGAAAACCTTATGGAGCACGCCTACTCTGTAACAAATGCAATCACTATGAGTCAGAGTCAACTGGATGGCAAAGGGATTAGTACTTTTGCTAGCGTAGTGGTTACAAATCGGGCTGCTAACCTCAGGGTCAGCAGTTCGAAACTACCAGCTGTTCCACAGGAGAAAAATGAGGCTTTCTGCTCCTGTAAAGATTTACACCCTTGGAAACCCTGTACAGGGTCGCTATGAGTTGGAACCTACTCCACAGCACATAACAACAACAAGAAAGATGATACAGCCTTGCTTGCTGAAAGTGAAGAGGACTTAAAATACTTACTGATGAAAATCAAAGACCACAGCCTTCGGTATGGATTGCACCTCGATGCAAAGAAATCAAAATATAACTGGACCAATAAGTAGCATTATGATAAATGGATAAGATTGAAGTTGTCAAAGACTTCATTTTGCTTGGATCCACAATCAACACTCATGGAAGCAACAGTCAAGAAATCAAGCAAAGTGTCGCATTAGGCAATTAAGGTGTTCAAGAGCAAAAATGTCAATTTGAGGAAGTACGGCCAGAAATCTCCTTAGACGTTAGGATGGTGAGGCTTCGTCTCTCGTACTTTGGATCTGTTATCAGGATGGACCAGTCCCTGAAGAAGGACATCATGCATAAAAAGTTGAGGATCAGTGAAAAACAGGAAGACCCCAGTGAACTGGATTGGCACCAAGGCAGCAGCAGTAGGCTCAAACATAAAACTTGTGAGGATGATGCAGGACTGGGCAGTGTTTCGTTCTGTTGTGCATAGGGTTGCTATGAATCCGAACAGACTCAACAGCACTTAACAACAACAAGAAAGATGTAATAGTCTGCTTCTGTAAAGTTTATATTCTAGAAAACCTTGTGGGACATTTCTGTTCTGTCCTATAAGATCACTATGAGTCAGACTTCTCTCAAATGCAATGGGATATTTAGGTTTTTAAGGACCAGGTGCTGTGCGTGCAAGATGCTTTCTCTATACATTATCTCAAAATAGCCTGGCAAATTTCTTTTCCTAGTCCATCACTTGTCTAATGGATGCATCATTTCCACATGATGTAGAGGAGGTACAGGCCCTTCAAGGCCACAAATTCAGGAAGGAAATCTTCATATGAGTGCAATAATGGTAAGATTGTTCATTATTTCTCCTACCAGTATTGGCTGCGCTCACAAACACCAACAGCCAATCAATTAGAACCAACTGGTGAAATGATATTTAATCATTCATGGCTGATAGGCTAATACAGGTCCCCCCACCCCCGACACCTGCCTAAAAGGGCAACCTGATACTCACTATATGATCTTATAAAAAGTGAGAGAAATTTTTTAAAGATTAACTATTCCAAATCTATAGCTGATGCTGATGCTGCTATTTTGAGTTGATAGTCATAAAGGATGCTCTGAGGTGGCATCCTTTGCTGTTAAACCTTGAGATGCTCTGAGACTGGAAGTGGCATGCTGTACTTTGGTCCCAGGTATTTTCCTGTCCACAGCCACCTATCTGGAGTCTGTCTTCTTTCCCAGCTGCCAGGATTTTGCCGGGAAAGAGGACATGTGATATCTGTGCAGGAATGGAGTTAACTCATCTGAGAATTCCCTCTGGAGGGGCACCAAAAGCAGACTTGCCCTCTTTCAAGTCCATTGAAAGGACATCTGGTACTATAGTCAGAATGGGCTCTAGAGCACAACTGCCAATCCTGTGTTCAAATCCCCTTCTCTTCCACTTACTAGCTGGGTAAATCTGGGAAAGCTACTTAACCCTTTTGTGCTTCAGTTCCTTCTTCTATAACACGAGGATAATAATGACATCATATTCATGTTGTTGTTAATCTTGTCAAGTCGGTTCCAACTCATAGTGATCCTTTGTAGAATTTAAGAAACTGTTAATTTTTGTAGAAGCAGAAAGCCTCACTTTCTCTGAGGAGTAGCTTGTATGCAAAAACAACCAAGTTTGTGGTTCACAGTTCAGTGCTTATCCTACAGGGTCATCGTGCTCCATATTCACAGGGTCACATAAATTAAATGGCTTAACATGCATAAAGCACTTACAACAGTGCCTTTTATTGTTGCTGTTGTTACTGGCTGCCATCAAGTCTGTATCAAGTCATATATATATGGTCATGTGTACTCCAACCTTATGGACATATAACAGAACAAAACATTGTTCAGTCCTTCATGATCCTTTCTCTCTACAATTACCATCATGTTGCAGCTATAATGCCAATCTGTATCACTGAGGATCTCCCATGCACTCATTGGCCCTCTACTTCACCAAAAATAATATCCTCCTATAATGATTGATTCCTCCTGATGCCATGCCTGAAACAAGCTTGTCAGGCAATATTCTGTTGCGATCATTAAGGTTTTCATCAGCTAATTTTCATAAATAGATTGCCAGGTCTTTCTTCTTATTCTATCTTGATCTGAAAGCCCACTGAAACCTGTCCACCATAGGTGATCCTAATGGTATTTGAAATACTGGTACATAGTTTCTAACCTCACAGAAACATACAAGCCACCACAGTAAGATAATCATACCGACAAGTGGTCGAAACAGTGCCTACTACATAATATGTTATGCTGTTGACTATTGTTTTGGTTAATAATTGTAATAAAGGTAGCAGTAATAGTAAATAGCCTCATTGTTCTGCACTCAGTAGAGCTGAGCTTGCCTGAAAAAAAGACAAGCATCATTGTCAGTGAACGATGAAGAACTTGACTTCTTCCCCACATGAAAGTACCCAAAGATCCTTAGATTTACCCCAAAGACTTTTATCCTGGGACATGAAAAATCAGAGAATTATGCCTCATAAATTATAAAAGCTAATTCCTAGCATCATGAATATAACAGTAATATCTTCTCTCTCTCTCATTTTACAGGTATACACTTTACTTGACAATAACAACTTTCTTTTTCCCTTTACCTTTGATTTTGGTGTGCTATATTTTAATTTTATGCTATACTTGGGAGATGTATCAGCAAAATAAGGATGCTGGATGGTAAGAATTTACCTTACTTTGCTTTGCTTTTTTTCTATAATGTGTTTCTGTATAGATCTTTTTGAGTATCCTATATTCAAGGTTTCTTGAGTTTCCTGGGTGTGTAGATTGATGTCTTTTTATAAAATTTGAGAAGCTTTTGACCATTATTTCTTCAACTATTCTCTCTCTGCTCTGTTCTCTTTCTCTTCTACTTCTGAGACTTTCATCATGCATATGTTGACATGTTTGTAGGTGTTTCACAAGTTTCTAAGGCCTCTGTTCATTTTTCTTCATTCTTCTTGCTTTCCCTTTCTCAGGATGGACTGTAAATGAATCATACTTGGGCCTTTTTTTATTATTATTTTTTAATTTTCATGCATCATAATTTGTTGTTGAAAAGGAGACATTTTAAAAATTACAATATTAAAGAAAGAAAAGGAAACATATTACTCAGGTCTTTCCATACAATAGGCTCTGGGCTAAGGTCACTCCAGTGTTTGTTGTTGTTGTTGTTGTTAAGTGCTGTCAAGTCTATTCCAACCCAGAGTGACCCTTATAGAGTTTCCGAGGAGCAGCAGGTGAGCTTGAACCACCAACCTTGCAGTTCAAACGACTTTGCAGTCTGACGCATTAGCCCACAGCGCCACACCAGGACTGAAGTGATATACAATAGGCTTTGAGCCAAGGTCACTCCAGTGTTTAGCTAGGTTGTTTACCTTACACTTCCTACTTGACTGGAGCTGATGGTGGTTATGTGCCGTGGAGTCGGTTCCGACTCATAGTGACCCTGTACAGGTTTTCCAAGGTGGTAAATCTTTACGGGAGCAGAAAGCTTCATCTTTCTCCTGCAGAACATTTGGCAGTTTCTAACTGCTGATCCTGAGGTTAGCAGCCTGTTTCATAACCACTATGCTACCAGAGCTCCTTCTTGACTTGAGCCTAAAGACCTACCAAAGATACTAACTAACCTAGGCATACTACACTGAGCATGTGTGTGACTATCTACATCAACTTTTCAAAGCCTGCATTACCCACAAATAATCTTACTCCTTGGCCTCTCCTCTTAGGCTCTCTCTGTGTATCTGTTGTTTGCCCTAATTGTTCCTTTTTGCCCGGGGTGATCACCTGATAAATTGTTTGATTGAACTGCTTCTTTTGCCCCTGGTGGCAGTGGCTACTTTATTTGACTATTATTGCTTTGAAAGACCACATAGCCATTCCACCCTGATGAAGTTCTGAGAAGGCAAAACAAAGAGGCTCTCCTGTGACAGTCACTGGGGAAGCTTCAGTCAGGTCAAAACAGACAAGTACAATTCCTTAGGAACAAGGCCTACTGTGCTCCCCCAGAATCAAGTGCCAACACCACAAACACAAGCTGTTATTTTCAAAGCTACTAGGATGCTGGGGGGAGGGGGGGATGGAGCTTAGGAAAGTTTAAACACTGCAAAGATCTCCTACCCCATTTCATTGACCTTTCTTCTGACAAATGTTTGCTTGGTTGCTGCAAACCTCTGACTAACTTCCAGAGCTCTGATAAGGTTGATTCTGAGAGGTTTTTGCCAACTTTTTTAATGTTTCTGGGGAGGCAATGCCTCCAGAATTCTCTACTCCGCTATTTTCATTAATATAGCTTCCTACTTAGCGTAGTGATTACGAATCGGGCTGCGAACCAAAAGGTCAGCAGTTCAAAACTACCAGCTGTTCCGTGGGAGAAAGATGAGGCTTTCTGCTCCTGTAAAGATTTACAGCCTCAGAAACTCTGTACAGGGTCGCTATGAGTCAGTCGGAATCGACTCCACGGCACATAACAATAACAACACAACTTTAGTTGAAAAAAAATTCTGATAGCCTAAGACATCTACAATGGCAACAAAGTGGCAATCACTTGAAAAATATTAAACTTGGACATATGGCATTAATGTATATGTATATAAAGCACTGCCTGAAAACAAGCCATGGTTTCATAAGAGCAGCAACAACACACCACCTAGGGATCTCGCATAGGTAAATGTTGAAACAACTAATGGTTTCATTAAAATGTGAATAGAACTCATTTCTATTTAAACCATTTAATGTTTGCCATGAACAAATTTCATTTAAATGTTTTAGTTGTACATTGTGCAGAACTATGTACATATGTAATACCTAAAATATTATGTGTGGAGTCCTGGTGTGGCACTGTGGGTTAATGTGCTGGACTGCAAAATCAGTTTGAACTGCAAGGTCAGCGGTTCAAGCTCATCAGCTGCACTTTGGAAACCCTATACAGGGTCACGATAGATCAGAACAGACTCGACGACACTTAAACAACAACAAGAAGATATTCTGTGTAAACTTTAATTTTAGCATGTTTCTTAATTTAGAGGGAAAGGATCAGATTAATTTTACATACTTAGTGAGAAATTAATTAGAGGTAAATGAAACCAAAGACTTACTTAGAGACATCAAACTTGGGAAGGTCCTTTAAAAAGATACATGTCTCTAAAACTGCAGGATTAATCTAAATTATTTCACTTTGAAATTTTAGATACTAAGTTATTTAAATGAGTACATCAGTAATTGTTTAACATGTTGGATCAAAATCATTATTAAAATTTATCTTTTTAATAGATTTCTGTGTTTCTTTTGGTAACGCAGTTTTCCGTTTTTGTTTTTGCATACTATATGTTAACACTTGGAAGGTTAAAAACAAAAAAGAATATGTGAACAATATGCCCCAAATTGTTAAAATCTGCAGCAAACTCCTGATACTAATAGTTCAAGTGGTCTATCGGCTCACAATCTTTTTTCCTTTTAGTTTCTTGAAATTCTTTGATGTTGTTGTTGATGTTAAGTGCTGTTGAGTCAGTCCCAACTCATAGCAGCAGCCCTGTACAGGGTTTCCCAGGAAAGGTTGATGGGTCTGAGCTGCCAAGCTTGTGGTTAACGGTACAGTGTTTATCCTACAGCACTATACCAGAAGTCCTAAATTCTTTTATAACATTACAGTATGTTAAAGGGTGGTCCATCTAGACTGGGGAAAAGAAGAAACTATCATTATAGGAAAAAAAATAATTTCTAAATGTATCCAAGGAACTGAATTGATGAGAAGATTGAAATGAAATCATGTCAAAGGTTGGAAAGGATGTTTGAGGAGTGCTTTTAAAACAGTTCTCCAAATCATATCATTTTGTTCCTAACACTTTTCCCAGAACTAATAAGAGCAACTTGTCATAAAAACCTTACACATTTCAGATATGCCTCAAAATGCAAGAAGTTAAAGGAATCATAACTACTGTGATACACTGCAGAGGAATCACTGTTTTCAGATGGTTTTCAGCTACCTTAACTTTTTTCATATTATCCCACGTCTTGTTCATTTTCCTGTTCCACGTCTCCCGGGAGATTTCTGATAAATATAACATAACATGGTAAAATATGGTAACTTTTAAATATTTTTTTAGAATAATTTTAAATTTATAGAAAAGTTACAAAGACAGTACAGAGAGTTTGCATATCACTTCTTAACTAATCTCATGAAGGATAGCTTTGACTCTAAGAATTAGTAAAAGCTGACTGCTATGAGCCAGAGGTCCTACTTTTCAACTTCCTCATTGTTTCTGACACCAGTCATTCCATAACACACTACTGGGTTCAATAATTCATTGTAATGCCTACAAAGCTCACAGAATCACCATATCTGCAATTGCAATTTCAGTATAACAAAGAAAGATATGATATACATGAAATAAGGTCCTAGAATGGGCTTAGCATAGTGCCTCAACATGTCAAAGGAACATACGTATCCTCCTGTGAACTGCAAGGTCAGCAGTTTAAACTCACCAGCTCCTCTTCATAAATCCTATACACAGGGTCCTATGAGTTGGATCTGACTCAATAGCACTTAACAACAACGATAGACTTTCCAGTACAGGGCTTTTTTATCCTAATGGATGTTCCACTCTCACAGCTCTCACCCTAAAGATCCTAAAACCTCTGTGCTTTATTCCACCAGGAGTTATGGTATGGCGCTGTGGGCTAATGCATCAGACTGCAAAGTCATTTGAACTGCAAGGTTAGTGGCTCAAGCTCACCAGCTGCTCCTTGGAAACCCTATACAGGGTCACTATGGGTCATAATCGACTCAACAGCACTTCACAACAACAACATAGGACATATGGAGCCCTCCTGAAGCAGTGTGTTTAGCTTTGGGCTGCTAACTAAAAGTCAATGGTTGAAAGCAATGAGAAAGAAGATGCAGTATGCTTCTGTAAAGATCTGTCTCAGAATCTCTATGAAGCAGTTTTATTTTGTTGGACAAGGTCTTTCCGCCTCTCATCTGTAAGTTTGTTGCACTCTGGTGGCTTGCATGCTGCTGTCATACTAATAATTATGCCATGGATATTTTAAATACCAGCAGGGTTCCCCATGGTAGTCAGGTTTCAGCTGAGCTTCCAGACTAAGACAGACTAGGAAGGAGAAACAGACTATTTTTTTAATGTTTTGCCACTGAAACCATTGTGAGTAGCAGTCAAACACTCTCAGCACAGAATATTGAATATTGAAGTGCTATGAATAGATGAACTTTTATGTTGTTTAGAACAGATGGACCTCACTAGATGGAATACACAGAGATCAAATTGACTACATCTGTGGCTAGAGACAGTTGAAAGGTTCCATGTGGTTGTTGTTGTTAGGTGCCATCGAATCAGCATCGACTCATAGCGAATTTATGCACAGCAGAACAAAATACTGCCCAATCCTAAACCAACTTCACTACTGCTGCCACGCTTGAGTCCATCGATGCTGCCACTTGGCAAATCCATCTCGTTGGGGGTCTTCCTCTTTTCCTCTGACCCTCCACTGTACTCTATCATCAGCCAAAACAAAGTCAGGGGCAGACTGTGGAAGAGACCATATTGCTCATATGCAAGTTCAGCCTGAAGCTGAAGAAAATTAAAACAAGCCCACGAGAGCCAAAATATGACATATCCCACTTGAATTTAGGGATCATCTCAAGAACAAATTTGAAGCATTAG